TCTACACTACCCTTTTGAACCTGTGCCAAGATCGGTCCGAACACGGTAACCCAGATAACTGCTGAGTTTAAATGGCACACAAAACTGAATCGGACTGTGCCAGACACAACCAAACTGCGCTAAACTGGTACTAGTTCATCAGCAGGGCTCGGCGTGGTTCCGCTCTGGCATGGTTCTCAAATAACAAAGAAAGCATGAGAAGACTGCATCATCTCCTTACAGTCAGCCTCTCATGACATTTTCATTCATTCCTAAAAATGCAAGCTTCCCTATCATGCCACATGATTTACAGTGATTATTCTGCTTAGCAGTGTGATGAATTTCAACATCTGTTGTTGTTTCCTGCATCTGTAAGCCCTGATTAGACAAAAGCTTGTGTTTTGGAGCATCCACTTCCCAAAAGCACGAGCCTAGCATGGCTAACTGATGCAAGCTCTGTCCAGACTCAGCAGGGATCGGTTTCAGAGGGTAGTGTAAATGGGGCTATAGACTCAGACTTGGAAGGAGCTGATTTTCTGAGCTGTGAACTGCCCCATTGCACTGTGTAAATCTTGGCAGCTGGGAGCCAGGAAAACTGTGTCGTCCACAAAAAGCAGAGAGGAATTTAACCTTTTCCAAAATCTGACTTAGGTTGTGCCTTGAAAATCTTTCTGTGAAGATTGTGAACAGGACCATAAACAAAAGGGCAGTCCTGCTGGATTCCAACATGAACTGGGAACAGGTCTGACTTAATGCCATTGCGGACTAAACTCCTGCTCCACTTGTACCACTTGACCTATGTGTAAATACTTGATATTGGATGGCCTCTAGAAGAGGGACTCGACTCCGTACTCCAGGTCCACAAAACAGTATGGGTCGACTAGTTAAGCAAACCTCACAAACCCTTGAGCACGCTACAGAGGGTCTAGTGCTGGTCCAGTGTTCCCAGAATCAAAATCACTTTGTTCCTCCTGTTTTAGCTGGATTCTATCCTCTCTAGCACCCTGGCATAGGCCTTATTTGAGAGGCTAAGAAGTATGACCCCTCCGTAGTTGGAACCCTCCTGTCCCCTTTGTTAAGGTGGAGGGTAACCCCAGTCTGTCAGTCCAAGGGCACTGTCCCTGACTGACACACAATGTTAAAGAGGGGTGTAATCCATTATAGCCTACAGATATCCAGAGAGCTGCTCAAGACAGATCTCATCCACCCCTGAAGCATTACCACCATGAAGTTTAATAGATAAACAAGTCTGACTCCAAACACCCGGTCTCTGTTTCCACCAGGGAATATGTGACAGATGGGTCGAGGAGATCCTTGAAGTATTGCTTCCATTTTCTTACAATGTCCTCAGTCACAATGAGCAGCTCCCCCCTCCTTCTTTAAGAAGTTCTAGCAAAGCATTAATTCCAGCTCTAGAGGCACCATTTGGTTCACCAAAGTACTATTGTGACTAACTGTGAGTCTTTTGGAGTAGAAATTAGGATTTTTATTTGATCCAGTACTGACAAAGGTGCTGCAAATCGCTGGGGCTGAAACCCTTCCCGTAAAATAGAGAATTACCCTTTAATTGGCAATTGGTTGTGTTGGGATCCTCAGGCTTGCCCACCAGAGGGCGCCGAGGATCCCCTTCTGCTCTTTGCTATTTTTCTTTAGGGCTGGAGTTACTGTGGGGATCTGGAGATTACCCTCTGTCTCCAGCAGAGTGCGCCGTGGGTCTTCTGGAGCTGGAACCTTCCTGCACACCTGTTGCTAATCCTCTCATCAGAAGACCTCTCCTTTATAAGCTCCTGCCTGACCTTGCTTCCACGCCGCAGTGTTGATCTTAGTTGGTTAGCTTCCTGAGCCTCTGTTACAGAAGAATCTTAGTTATCTCTAGTGTGAGATCAGATTCTAACTCTTCCTTGTTTCTGCCTCACAGGAATCCTGTCTCTTCGTGAAAGCTCTGGATGAGCTTAACCTCCTGTCTCCTCGTGAAGCTCTGGAAGAGCTGTCTCTCTGGCAACCTGTCTCTGGCCTGCAGCTCTGGGAGAGTTGCATCACAGGAAACCAGTCTCAAGTCCGAAGCTCTAGGAGAGTCTAACCTGCTAATCTGCCCTGGTGAGCCAACACGAAGATTCCTACGTGGATGAACCTACGACTTCTATGTGGAGTTTCCCTGGAGGTTCCTACGTGGAATCAGTTTCTAGAATCCTGTGTGGATTTTCCCCGTTGTTCCCTACTAAGAGCTGGAAGCTCAGCCTGAAGAATCCTTCGTGTTTTCCCCTGTTGTTCTCTGCAGTGAGCTGGAAGCTCAGCCTGAAGAATCCTTCGTGTTTTCCCCTGTTGTTCTCTGCAGTGAGCTGGAAGCTCAAATCTAGGACTGCCATGCTAAGCCTGAAGCTAGATGCTTAGCCTCTCATGAACTCTGCTAAACAACAGTCTCCAGTCCCAGTCAAGACTCCAGTGAACCAGCCCCTGACCAATTCCAGTCCCAGTGCTTTAACCTTGTGTTCAGAACTTTAATAAACATTTGAACTTTTTCCCTCTCTCCTCCGTGTGTGTTCTGCATCTTGGGCTTGCCTCTATAACCCATCATGACAGGTTGTTGAATTGTTCAAAACGGAATCGTGATGTGTAATAGCAGGTTTATCCTAAAGGCTCTTTCTTACCTGTTGTGATCGCAGGGAGTAGTACGGGGAGAAAACGTGTACTGCAACAGAAAGTATATCACACAAAGTCAAGTAATAAAGTGAATGAAAAACCACTTGCCATACACTCTTAAAGGGGTCATAGAATGCAAAACCAAGTTTCCATTGTCATAGATGAAAAACGATAGTTCAATGGGTGAAATGGACGTACAGACAAGTTCAAACCCCATCGACACCTCCTTTCTCTGCAAATCTGACTTCTAAACTTAAAACCATAAAAAGGGCAAATTCAAACGAAGCACCGAATTGATGTCAATTTGGGGAAGTTGCCTTATTTGGTTGCCCCGACATTGACATGCAGACCAGCCCACTGGTTCACAGCCCAAGAACATGAATAGAGGTAGATGTAAAACACCTGTTTGGCTGACAGTTGGATTTACTTCTACAAGAATTACAAAGCAGGCTGTTTCTCTATTGAAAATTAGCCAGAACCACAGGCGTAAATGCAGTGTTCCAGGCTGCATGGAGGAAGGGGAAATTTCTTCTTCACATGTCTTCACAAGGATCCGAAGACTCGACAGGCATGGATTATTTTTGTCAATCTGAAGATCCCTGCAAAGTTTGATGCTCAGCTGTTCCTTTGCGCTAAGCATATTACGGAAGATAGCTTTCAAAATCTTGGACAGTTCAAAGCAAGATTGCTAAACTTCTTTTACTGAGACGACCGGACCCAACCCGGTGACGGTATGCTTCCCCCTGCCTGCCTTACTGTGCTTCTCCCCCGCCACTTGTTTATAATTTGGTAGTTACTTATTTAAATCCTGTTCTGTAACAGAGTGCAGATACAATTTGTAGTGAAAGTGGTTTCTCTGTTTATCGTCATAGACCTGGGTTTCAGCGGCTTCCTGGGCACCTTTTGCTCTGGTCACAAGACAAAGCTATCTGTCGCTGTCAAGAATGTCATTAGTAAGTAAAATGTAGCGCTTACAAAACTGACAAGAGAAGGCGCTGATTTTATTGAAGCATCAGACTTGCTCGCCATCAACCAAAACCTGATCTTAGCTGACTTATAAAGTCCTAGTTATAGTTTTTACGCCATGCTTTAAAAATCACTCACTAACAATTAGAAACAAAAAGACAAACAGGTAGAATTTACCTTCCTCCCACAGCAGTAGCCCAGGGACCGCATAGCATAATCGATCTCAAACTCAAACACCTCGGCCAGTTTGGTGCAGTACTTGTAGACCCGAGAGGTCTTTGGATTATACAGCCAGGCATTGTTGAACATCAGCCAGACGTCTTCGACATACTGCCATGGCTCCTTGTACTGCCCTGTGTCCAACTTTTTAAAAATGGTCGACAGATCCATGGGGTTCTTGATGATGTCGAAGTAGTCCTGGATTGGGATGGTTGTCCATGTTAGGTCAGGTTGAGTGGTCAAGCAAAAGGATAAAAAAAAACATTGACATAAGTTGGTGGCAGGAATCATCGTCATCATTGACACAGAAGAAGGCATTGTAGGCAACCGACAGGACCAGAGTAAGGAGAGAAGAGAGTGCAGGAGGACAGTATTGTTAAGGACTGTAAAGAAGAAGGTTCATATGCAAACAGAGAGACATGACAACTTCTGCCCTCCAGCTCTCGGGCTGATTTGAAGTGCACCCAACACTTCAAATCTACCCATCTACATCAGCCAGAGGACCAGTCTGCCCAGTTTACAGCTGGTAAAAATATTTCCAAAGATGCAAGAACATTTTACAAGATCATGCTGCAGCTGGAGCAGAACATGTCATTATAAATCTCTATCAATTGGTCATAAACAGTACATTTAAACAATTTGCTACACAGCTGAATGGATTCATTTCTGCTAAAACCTGAAAGCAAACAAAACTTCAATGATAAGCAACTGACCAGGGTGCAAAGCCATGAAATCAGAGCAACGTGAGTAGCAATGAGATGGCAGCATTCAGCCCAACAGTCTTGAGATGAAGCAAAGACATCAATGCCTGGAAGCTTCTTTAGATCTGGGAAACAATTATACTTGAAACCGATCTGATCCACCGGAGCTCTGGCAGCATGGTAAAGGTCATTGCTATACTAGCAGGTAAACATCCGCCACAGCTTTAAGTATTTTGTAGCATTTAAGAAAGTTATCTACCAACTTTGGCACTGAGCCTGGGATCTCTGCTGATCCTCCAGAGGTTACAAAGGTATCTTAATGCTTCTGACCAAGGAATCCTTGGCTGGTCCCACCATGAAGGCGGATGGAAATCTCTAAAAAAGATCAAATCTATGTATATGTTTTTACTTTCATTGTCAAAAGATAATGTAGTATATGACATCCATAAGATCATCTGTTAGGTGATCTTATGGATCATCTAGTTTGCATCATTCGCCACCATGTCTGAGGAAAATACTACCTTTATGGTAAACAACATAAGGGTTGAGTTTTTGTGGTATTGCATAATCTCTGACCTGAACACAGTAAATCCTGTACTGATGAGGATTAGAAAGCTTGAAAATGTTAATGAGGATGAAAGAGATGATGAAACTATGAAAAGCAGCAAAATAATAAAGAATGAAAAATAAAAGCATCTTGCCCAGGAACAGTAAGTCTTGATTCCAATTTGTTTGACTTCATTCCAGTCAATTACAATAATGTGTGCGGCAAACTGTAGATAACTGATTATTAAGATTTTTATTTTTTCCAGCATCTTTCAAGAAGAAAAATCTGTTTTTGAAACACATAAACCTAAATATAATAAATTTTACTTTAAGCATTCAGGACAAAAAAAAACAAAACAACAACAGCAACTTATTAGCAGCAAAAATAAATAAATACCTAATTGAACAATAAGGTAATTGTAGGAGGGAAAAATGTGCAATATAAACAAAGATTAAAGGTATGCTGGGATGGAGTGGAAGCTAAATGGCAGCCAGAGCAGCTCTTACCATGTTAGTTTTGTTAATAATTCAAATACATACAGGAATTCCCAGAAACTCTGGGTTCACAGGCGTACGGAAAGGAAGGCACTCAGGGTCCTGTTGGTACAAAGCCTCCAAGGTTGGCATCAAAGCCCCAAGCAGCTCCTCTTGGTCAAAAACTGGAGAAAAAAATATTATTTTCAAAAAGGCCATCTCCAATGCTCCAGGACAGTATAATACACATATAATAGAGGAACCGCTGAACCAGGGGTTAGAGCTACAGGCCTGCAATGTTTGGCTCCCACAAAAAAGCTGTGGAATAACTCTTAAAATTAATTTGTATATCCCTCCCCATCAGAGTTACAAGTTTTGAAACAGAAAAATACTGTTGTGCTTCTGAGAAACAACGACTGGGCTGCGTTAAGAGTTAAACAAATGAAGACAAGCAGAAAAGCAGCTTATTCCCTTTTAAATACAGTTATAATGGTCTGTAATGTCATGGGCCTACCTTACTTCAAAAGAAATTAGAAATTCTGGCATCATGAACTCTTTCAGATAAAAGCACAGTTTTAATAAATTATAAAGAGTTAATCTTTTTTAAAACAAAACCATTGATCAGCGGCCTGCGTTAAAATATTCTGATCCATTTTTGCCATTATGACAGTAAAGGTTCCTCTTCTTCTCTGATTTAAATGGTGAATTGCAACCAGTGTTTTAGGTGCATTTCATACAGGACATGTATGTCATGTTACATTATAAAACAAACAAAACAAAAAATTTAATAATTGGGATTAGACCTTTATCTTTTTGAATCATAAACAATGCTCTGCACCCTTTATTCTTTTATTAATACTCAATATTCCTTCCAGGTCCTCCTCCAAAGTCCTATCATGCCGGATACTCCTCTCAGAATCCAATTTAATACACCTCAGAATATTATGTTCTTCCTCCTCAGGGATGCTGCAGACATAACATTCAAAGATATAAATTTATTAAATAAAGAGTTGATTTTTATCCACTATGCCCCAATTTTAAGCGTGAGAAGACTAATTCTAATTTTTTACACTGTCATCTTTATTGATTTCTGCATTCTTCAGCAAGGTCCTCCTTTAGCATCAGTGTCCAGTCTCCCCATTGTCCTGCACCTTTTAGATGTGTTTCTGGTTCAACACACCTGAGTTAAACTTTCAGGTTATTAACAGGACTGAGGGATTGCAATGGAAACTAAGTAGGTAATTCTAAGCAAACCTCTGAATCTTCCAGCGCTGTGATGGGCGACTCCAGCCCTCATGTGCCGGTGTCCTGCAGCTTAAGGATATGTCCTTGGTCCGGCATACTAGAATCAAACAGCCGAATTACATCCTCAGGATTTAGGCTCTCCGGAATCCTGGTAATCATCTAACTATTTTATTCAGGTGTGTTGGAACAGAGACATATCTAAAAGGCTTCTTCAGGAATGAAGAAAGAGGCTGGTGGTGGTGGTAGTGTTTTTTTGGGGGGGATACTGGGATACATGGAAATGAGATTTTGGAAAAGATGGCCAAGTCAGCTAAACATTGTGGTAATACTAATAAGGAAACAAATTTTAGTAGATAAGAGATTAAAATCAAACAGAAACTAAAAACAAATTCTAAGAAAATGGGAAGATGTAAAAAGAGGATAATGAAATAACACAGACAGAGAAGGTGAAATGTAAAGTGGGCGGAGTAGGGAAGAAGCAGGAACTGTGAAGTTGTCATTTCTGCAAAATGTAACCAGACCCTACACCTTTAGAACTTTATCTCTCTTAATTTGCACCTCTTTATAACCATTGCTGTCTCTCTCCATTGATTATAGCCGCTCTGAGCATGTATCACCAGGGTATGTAAACAATAGCAGGATCCACCCACCTGAACAGAATGTGCTGATGACATCATCATAGTTTTACAAAGGCAGATTACTTGCTTCAGTACATTTTTGTAATTGAGTTCCTTGAATCATTCGATAAATCACGAAAGCCCTAATATGTTGTGAGAAATAGAAACTGAACAAACCCCTTGAGGTCGTTTTCCTCAACACTGACTCTCCCGGAGGGCCTTTACTGGACATGCTGGCCTGTGGCGTCTGCTTCTGGTCGCTCTGGTGTGTAAGATCTGACTTAGCCTGGCCTGTCTCTAAGGAGCTGGGGTCAGTCTGGTTCATGGTTCAGGCCAGGAGTGCTCGGCTGCCTAACTGACTGTGCTCCGAGTTACTGTAAAGCTGCACTCCCTGTTGACAGCAACAACATGGGGGAGGGAGCGGAAATGAATGATTTTACACAGCCAATTGGAGAGGAAGGGCAAGCATTCAGGAAGTTGTGTGTCGACTAGCGGAGGCACTGAGAAACTGAAACTAGGGGCAAAAACACATAGCCTATGAGATCTGTAAATGTGAAAGTGAAAAATGTAAATGGTTCATTTCATAAGGATAGCAGAGAATGTTTAGAAGATGTTAAAATAAATACATAAAAGACAGAAACTTAAGTTCTGCTATGAGTCACTCTAAAACTACACTTATGAAAGCAGAAGAAAACTAAAATTCCAGAAGAAACACCCACTGAGAAGAGAATACCCCATTTATATATGAAGGCTAGATGAGAAAAGACCCTGAACAACTTTAACAAACTCTTCCCTTACATACAAACTTCACAGCATAAAACCAAAGTACCTGATGCATTACAATAATTGCAGTAATCTGTTCTCCAAAGATTTTTGTTTGAGGATGTTATGTAGTTGTGTAACTTTATCATGTTATTTAAAAACTCTTGATTAAACAACTGCAAGTCAACTAAACTAATCAGGTACATAAATGAAAATCATTAAAATCTTTAATCAATAGAATGAGGAAATACTATCATTGTTTGGTATGAATGTTATGTTAAAGAACCAAATTTTATATTGAAGAGTTTGGAAAGAGATCAAATTAGCTTTTAAACGGAAATGTTCAAGCCAGTTCAAAATGCAAAACATGATTTGTTAAGATAATACTTCAGTAAATGAATTACCTTAATCAGAAATCAATAACCTTTTAGATAATTGATTCTTAACCTTCTCTGACTGTTCCTGAGGGAATATTTAAGAGAGGGCAAGGTTCAGCAAGGTTGTTTTAAGACAACTGACAAATGGCAAGACGTCAGGCATAACTAGATTTGTGTTCTCTTGGTATACTAAACAGTTGTAATGGTTACATACTGCATCTAATTATGTGTGAGTCCTACAAAGGTTAGTGAGCGGAGCCAAAAATGTTATTGAAGAATGGTTCAGATTGTGAACTTCACATAATCCAGCCAATCTTTTGTGGCTATTTGTATATGTTTCTCCTGCTTTTTCTCTGATCATTGCACTTGTACTCATCCTTATCGTCTCCCAATTCATACGGGACTAGGTTGCGGGGCAGCAGTCTTAGCAGAGACTCCCAGACATCCCTCTCCCTAATGTTGGGAGCTGGAGAAGTACCACCTTTCTCCAGCAGAGTCCGCCGTGGATCCTCCTGAGCCGAGCCTGCGACGCACCTGTGGCTCGTTCCATCATCAGAGGATCCACACTATAAAAGCTGTCTTCAGACCTTGCCTCGACGCCGCAGTGTTGAATCTCGTTGGTTAGCACCTGAGCCAAAGAACCCTCTGAGAAATCTAATTGTTCCTTGAGTCCTGCTAGGATTCTAATCCTTTGTGTCTCTGTTTCCAGGAAACCAGTTTTCTCCGTAAGCTCTGGATGAGCTTAGGCTGCCGAGCCTGCCCTCTGAGCCAAACCCGAAGACTCATCTCTGGATTCCCATGCAGCTCTGGATCAAGAGCTGGAAACCAATAACCAAGGTCTGCACCCTCATCAGAAGTAAGACGCTGAAGCAGTATTCGGACTCTGCTGAAACAAACCTTCTCTGGACCCAACAACTCCTCTCTCTAAGTTCAAACCGGAACCCTCAAGGTACAAGTCTGAACATCTCAAAACCAAACCCCATTGATCCCAAGCTAACTGCTCTGTTATCTACACAGACTCCAGTGAACCAGTCCCCAGGCCTGAACCAGTTCCAGTCATATTTCCATGTGCTTGTGACAATAAACTCTGTTAAACTTTTACTATTGTTTCCGTCTCCGTGGTGTTCTGCATAACTGGGTCTCCTCAGTGAACCCACCATGACACCTAAGACACCATCTACAACTCTGCTGGGGGAAGACCAAAGCACTCCTAGTCCCTCCATTATGTCCTGGGCCTCCTCTAGGTGCAATGCCTAGAACACCTCTCCAGGGAGGTGTCTTGGGGGCATCCAAAAAAGATATCCACACCACCTCAGGTGAATACCTTTGAAATGGAGGAGAAGCAGCTCTACACTGAGACCTTCCTGAATGACATAGCTCCTCACCAAATCTCTATAGGAGAGCTCAGCCACCTTGCAACCCGAAAGGGACAAGCCACCTTTTTCCGGTCGAAAAAACATGGCCTCAGACTTGCAGGAGCTGATTCTCCTCCCGGCTGCTTTACATTCTCCAGCAGAACCGAGTCATCCGCGAAACCAGGGGCGAGATCCCGAAACCAGACGCCCTCCAGTCCTTGGCTGCACCTAGAAATCCTTACCATAAAGGTTTTAAACATGACCTGTAAAGAGGAGTCCAACATGCACCAGGAACAGGTCTGACTTATAGTCGGCACTGCGAACGAAACTTCTGCTCCACTTGCACAGAGACCGTATGGCCCCTAGTAAAGGTCCACAAAGCCAATATGGATTGATTGGGCAAACTCCCATGAACCCTTGAGCACCTTGCAGAGGGTGTAGAGACGGTCACCTGTTCTATGCCTAGGACAAAAACCATACTTGACTATTAGCCAGACTCTCCTTTCCAGCACTCGGCATAGGCCTTAACGGGATGGTTGAAGAGTGTTACTTCCATACTGCTGAAACCAAAACCTCTGGTCCCCTTTCTTATGCAGAGGAGGCCAACTGTCTTTTTCCATGGGCTCTCCAACTCCTCTCAGGCCAGAGTTTTGGCCTCTGCAACCACCTGGGCAGCGGCACGCTTGGCCTCAGCATACCTGCTTGCTGGATCAGGAGTCATATAAGCCAACCAGGCTCAATAGGGTGGCTGCATCTACAATAGAGGCAGGAAACATGGCCATCCAGACTCAATGTCTCCAACCTCCCCCGGAATCTGGAAGCGCATCCAGCTCACCACCAGGTGCTAGTCAGTGGAGTGCTCCGCGCCTCTCTTTACCTGAGTATCAAAGACATGCGGCTGAAGATATGACTAAAAATCACCTACCTCTACCTTAGGGTGTTCTGTTGCCAGGTAGTGCACCCACTGGGGGGCAGCCTTGTGTAACTCCTCTGGCATATCACACATATGCCAAGCAGGGTCACAAGGGGTGCTGGTGCCTATCTCCAGCTGTGTACAGGCAAGAGGCGGGGTACACCCTGGACAAGTCACCAGTCCATCGCAGGGCAAAACAGAGACAAACAACCATTCACACACACTCACACCTAAGGAGAATTTAGAGAAGCCAATTAACCTAACAGTCATTCTTTGGACTGTGAGAGGAAGCCAGAGTACCCAGAGGGAACCTGTGTATACTTAGGGAGAACATGCAAACTCCATGCAGAAAGACCTTGGGCCAGAAATTGAACCCAGAACCTTCTTGCTGCAAGGCAGCACTGTGCCACTGAGCAGCCCTAATTATCCTTAATTTTTAAATCTTCCAGAATCTTTCTCTGTTGCTCTGTGCTTTAAGTAAAACAGTAAAATTACAGATTAGATGCTTAAAGCAGATCTGCTTCGCCTATTTAATGCTTTACAATGTGTTATGTTTAGCGGTGAATAAGTTACGACAAGCTTCAATTCAGGCTAAATAGTTCTATTTTTTGCTTCAATCAAACATTGTGGGGGATTTCTGCATATTGTGGCATGGTGAGAGGACACTTCAGGTAAGTTACTTTCATTTTTGAAAAACATGCTGTGTCGAAAGGGACAGACAAACCCCTGTTTTTCTTCCCTTTCAGTACCAATCTAAGACCTTGGCTGTTTTTTAATAAGAAACAGCCTGAAAAATACTTTGTTGTTTCATTAAAATTATTATTTTTTTATTTCAAGCAATCTGCTGGAGTAAAAACTATGAAGCAAAAGAGTCTTGAGAGACATAAAGTTGTATTCAAAATGGATGCTCTGCTTAATTCATGAATACGTTTCTGCTCTTTAATCAATATGGTGATTGTCCTTGAAGCGTGAAGAATCTCTTTTTAATGTGTTTTATATCCAATGTACTTCTTTCTTCCAGATCCTACGGTGTTTTTCTACTTTTAGTTTTGTTTAGCCAGGAACCGTAGAGACAGGGTCTTAGTAGGCAACTCCGGAAAGAAAAGTGTGTTTTCTGGTTACTTTTCTTTCAGTTAAATCAACCAGATCTTTCAAAGGTAAATCATTTTGAAACCTATTAGGTACAACAGCACAGGGAGTTAGTACATTTTTCAGAGTTTGATACGTCAGCTCTCGGTTTAAAGCCTGGCATTACAATTAATTAACAAGGAGTGATGCATCTGTCAGGTTTTTAGTAAAGATCTTTAGGATTTCTTTCTCTGAAGAGTGGTATTAGTAAAGAGGTTAGCCTTCTTCCTTATTTCGTCTTAAACTTGAACACTTTCCCAATGTTGAAAAAGTTAAACCAAAAGTTATTAATTATTCAGACAGATTTATGCTTAAAGATTTTTTTATTTATTTAAATGTTTTTTTTTTGACTGGAAGTAATGTTTTTTTGTTTTTGCTACATAAAGATTATATAAATGCTACAACCAAATTCATCTAAAGGCCTAAAATTGTGTTGACTCGATTGTATTAATTTTTCTTCTATTGCAAAAGCAAACAATTTCATCAATTAAAGAATTGGATAATGAATGTGAAACTGTTTTCATGTCTTTGTATGTCTGTAAAACATCTGTAAGTAGTTTTTTAAGTCACACTATGAAGAATTGAGCCAAAAATAATCCAAAGTGTAAAATCCATGCTTCAGTGAGATTTCCAGACCATCTGTGAACTACTGCGTTCGTCTTGCAACTCTAAACAACAAAATGGCAAAGCAATTGGCAAAATAAAAAAAAAAAAAATGGAGTTTTTCATTAAGTGTTTCTTATTTTTCGTATCTCAACACTGGGAACAGAAAGTTGAATTGGGGAGTGGTGGCCTAGTGGTTAGAGCATTGCCCTTGGGTCCTATAGGTTCTGAGTTCAACTCCCATAGACTGCCACGCTCTCTCCCTGAGCGAAACCCTTAACCCCAGACTGC